GCAGCAGGGGTGGCATACCGCCTTAGCCACCGAAACTGTGTTACCTCCCCTGGTTGGCGGCTGACGAGGGCAGAGTACGCACATGCTTTAACACGTTATATGTGGAATATATATATATATATTTATCTTTCCCCTCTCTCTTTCTCTCTGTATAGAAGAATATATATATATATATATATATATATATATATATATATATATATATATATATATATATATATATTCTGTCTATACGCTATTTTAATTGATACAATTTATTTAAGTAAATGTTCTGTTTTAAATAAATTGTATCTATTAAAATAACGTATAGAGAGAAAATATATTAAAACATTGTCGGACAATCCATTTCATAATATATATATGTGTGTGTGTGTGTGTGTGTGTGTGTGTGTGTGTGTGTGTGTGTGTGTGTGTGTGTGTTTATTCACCTTGTCCTTTTGCGGATATATCCTATCTGAAATCTTACACCCACGCATACTTATCAAAAGCGAAAGTAACTTAGATGGAAAATTCTTGAGAGTGCCACTATGGAATCTTACCAAAATATAAATCTGCACCCCAGTTGTTTTCAAATATCTCCTTTCATAAAAGAATTACTCTTTTCCAAAATCAACATATATGACTATAAAAAAAAATTAAAGTAAAAAAAAAAACAGGGGCTAAATTAATAAACTTATGTTATAGGCAGAGAATCTTTGATTCAAAATTCTTGAGACCGTTTTTCAGATTTTGGAATACAGGATATTTCATTTGTATATAACATCTATAAAATAGGACAGCTTGGGAATGGAACTCAACTATAAACACAATATCCCTTTACATTTTATAACAAAGCTTATAAATATACCTTGAAGATAGGTCTATATAAATAATATATACACTGGAAGTAGTTGCATATAAAATTTAATAAATTCTGTGTACATACAAATATTCAGCTGATAAAGCCAGTCATGTAATGTTCACGCGGATTTTTAAGTGGAGAAATTAAAATTTCACGTCAAAATAATGTTCTCTTTCTATACGGGCACAAAAACACTGTTTCTATTTGATTGTTTTATTTTATTATTTTTGTATTAATTTTATTACTTTTATTTTTGTTATCCTTTTTTATCATTTTATTTTCATTTTTAATTTATTTTCTTATGTTTCTGCCTTTTTTTTCTTGGTATGGGTGGAAAATAAAGCACAAAAAAAATGTATTTTATTACAGGTTGAGTATATTTTATCTTAAATTCCTGGGACCAGAAGTGCTTTGGTTTTCAGATTTTGAAATACAGGATATTTTAATTTTATATAGCATCTATAAAATCGGACAGCTTAAGAATGGAACCCAAGCATAAACACGAGATTCCTTTACATTTTTATAACACAGCTTATGCATATACTGAATGTTGTTTTTATATAAAATTTAATAAATTTTGTGTCCATACAGATAATGGTAATGACGCTGGTTATGTAATGCTCACAGGAGATTTTAAGTGATGAATTTAAGATTTCATATAAAATAATATCCTGCATTTTCTATACCTATACAAAAAAATCATGATCATTACTTTACATAAAATATATAAATGCAACAACAAACACTGCTTCTGCATCAGGTGTAAGAAACTGGAGGGGAGGGGAATACATCACCAATGATATCACTGTGATATTAATTGAGAAGGAAATTTCAGTAAGCTATCAGTCTCTACCAACAATGTGGTGTTTTGACTAAAATATTACAAAACACATAGGTCCAGTATTTGTATAAAAGCAAATCATGGATTATGATTATTGTTAAATGTCATAAAAACTGAAAAAATCAGTGTTTTATGTGTAACGCTGTAAAGGAGTAATCATGTTACGGGCAGCCATGTTGGTTTCTGAAATTTTCCATTTGTGGCAAGTCATGTCAGCATCTGAAAAACATTCGGATTTTAGAGGTTTTGGTTTTTGAATAGAGTATACACAACCTGTATTTAAAAATATGAAAATACATAAATAAAATTCAAACTAAAATCATATAAATAATAATTACATTATATATAAACAATTCGACAGCAACAAAATATTTTCAGTTTTATCTATTAGACATTAAATTTCATATATATATATATATATATATATATATATATATATATATATATATATATATATATATATAATATTATTAATAAATATATATACATATGCAAAATATACAAATACCGATGCATGTATATTTTTTTAATAAAAATTCCAAGACGAAGAATCAGGTAGAACTCAATGTCCAGGACAGGTAAGGATATAATAAAAGGCTTAAACACTAATATTAGTGTTTAAGCCTTTTATATATATATATATATATATATATATATATATATATATATATATATATATATATATATATATATCCTGGCTGTCCTTACATTGGTCTACAGATAGTCCAGATTATTTCAGATAAGATTTTATTGTGTCCTTAAATCTCTTCTTCGGCTTTGATGCATTTTTTCTTTCCTTCCCACATTTCACCATAGAA